GCCGAAATGCCGCTGCCAGACACAATCCCCGGGGCCTTAACCCCTGCGCTGCCTGTCCCGCTCCCGGCGGATGGGGCCGGTGGGAACCCCTTCCCCTCCAACCTTTACACCATGGTCACCCCCTCTTTGGGGCCTGCAAGCTGAGACCTCGCAAACTTGTTTTGCCTGGTGTCACCTCCCCGATCCCGCTCAAGGCGGGGACTGTCCCCACTGATTCTGTGGAGAAGGAGGGTGACGGGCGCCCTTGACTGTGGGTGGCTGAAATGGGGCTGAAATGGGGCACCTTGGCTGGAGCAACCATGTCCCATGGAAATCACCGCACATAGCAACCATGTCCCACGGCAACCACCTCCTATGGCAACCACCTCCCATAGCAACCACTTCCCATGGCAACCACCTCCCATAGCAACCACCTCCCATGGAAACCACCTCCCATGGAAACCACTTCCTATGGGAACCACCTCCCATGGAAACCACCTCCCCATGGCAGGCAACTACCTCCCACAGCAACCACCTCCCATGGAAACCACCTCCCATGGAAACCACCTCCTGTGGGAACCATCTCCCATGGAAACCACCTCCCCATGGCAGGCACCTCCCATGGAAACCTCCTTCCATGACCATCTCCTCCCCATGGCAACCACTTCCTATGGGAACCACCTCCCATGGAAACCACCTCTTCATGGAAACCATTTCCCGCAGCAACCCCCTCCCAGAGCAACCACCTACCCACAAGGATAATTTTCCTACAGCAAAATGACTTATCCATGGCAACAATCTCCAATGGCGACAAGCTCAGCCAGCAACCAAATCCCCATGGCAACGTGCTCCCCATGGCAACCAGCTCACTACAGCCACCCCACAGCAGCCACCCCTCCTTCACAGGATCACAGAGCAGTTGTGGTTGGAAGAGACCTCCAGAGACCATCTAGTCCAACCCCCTGCTACAGCAGGGACACCTAGAGCAGGGGCACAGGGCGGCATCCAGGTGGGTTGGAGATCTCCAGAGAAGGAGCCTCCACAGCCTCTCTGGGCAGCCTGTGCCAGGGCTCTGGCACCCTCACAGGAAGGAAGTTCTTCCTCACATGGAGATTAAACTTCCTGTGTTTCAGCTTACACCCATCCCCCCTTGTCCTGTGGCTGGCCACCACGGAGAAGAGCCTGGCCCCATCCTCCCTACACTCTCTCCTCAGGTACTTGAACATGTTGGTCAGATCCCTCTCAGCCTTCTCTTCTCCAGGCTGAACAGGCCCCGCTCGCTCAGTCTCTCCTCACACGACAGATGCTCCAGTCCCTCCATCATCTTCGTGGCCCTGTGCTGGCCCCACTCTAGCAGCTCCAGGTCCCTCTTGTCCTGGGGAGCCCAGAACTGCCCCCAAAGCGCCAGGTGCCTCCCCAGGGCTGAGCAGAGGGGCAGGATCCCCTCCCTGGCCCTGCTGCCAACGCTCCTCCTGCTGCAGCCAGGAGCCCATGGGCCTTCTGGGCCACAAGGGCACCCTGCTGCCTCATGGGGAACTTGGTGTCTACCAGGACTCCCAAGTCGCTCTCTGCGGAGCTGCTTTCCAGCAGGTCAACCCCTAGTCTGTGCTGGTACCTGGGGTTCTTCCTGCCCAGGTGCAGCACCCTGCACTTGTCCTTGTTGAACCTCATGGGGTCCCTCTCTGCCCAACTCTCCATCCTGTCCAGGTCTCTCCCAATGGCAGCTCAGCCCTCAGGAGCGTCAGTCACTCCTCCCGGTTTGGTCGGCCACTCCTCCCAGTCCCTGGACGCCTTTTGGTCCCCCAGGGTCCTGTTACCTCTTGTGCTCCTCCACAAACTCCACGATCTCCTCCTTGCTGTTGGGCTTGTCGGGGATGGTGACTGGCTCCTCCATGAAGGGCTCATAGAAGTCGATCTCATTGAGCTTCAGCGTCAATTTCTTGGCCACCTTGGGCAGATGGTAGAGGTCCCTGAGCCTCCCGTGGGTGCTGGCGCGGGGGCTGCCCCTGCCCTCCCGGGACCCTCTCCCACAATGATGAGTGACCTTCTGTCTGTTCCCAGCACCCCCGTACCTTGTGATCGAAGGTGGCAAAGAAGGGGATGTAGGGGTGGAATTCCTCAGCTGCCTCCTCAAAGGCCTTGAAGTCTGCAGGAGCAGCAGTGGGTCAGAGCAGACACCAGGCACCAGCACCCTCAACCCAGACACATCCTGGTGGCCCCGGCTCCACTCTGCATCCCCCATGCTGAGGTTCCTAACACGTCCAAGGCGATCCTGATCGGTGCCACGTGCCAATATTGTCCCCTTCACTCTGTCCCTGCCTTTAGGTCAGGACTAGAGGATCTGCAGGCAGTCCCTGGTCCAGGAATGGCGAGGATGGAGGGGGGTGTTGTAAGGGGTGGAGAGCTAGGGACATGTATGGATGGATGGATGGATAGATGGATGGATGGGTAAGTGGATGGGTGGATAATAGGAGCATGGATGGATAAGTGGGTGAATGGATGCATGGTGGATGCATGGATGGAAGGATGCGTGGAAACCTGACAGAGGGACATGTGCATGGAGAGCCACATGCAGATGTTGATAGACGAATGGAGAAAGGACCTGGGACCGGGGCTGTGGTCAGGGATGGATGGAGAAAGGGCCTGGGACCGGGGCTGTGGTCAGGATGGGGGGCACAGGATGCCCGTCCCCAGCCCTACATACGCTCTGAGTCCTCGTTCTTGAAGTAGCCAATGAGTTTGGGCTCGTCCTCGATGTTCTCGAAGGCCTGGAGCTCGTGGTCACCCTCAATGAACTCCACAGGGTCCTCTAGCACCTGGGGCAGGTGGGGGTCAGCACCCAAGGGACCCGCAAGGTGAGGGGCGGCAGGACCCCTGGGTGCTGGGGGCCAGGAGAGGGGGACCAGGGGACACTCACATCCAGCAGGAACTCAACAAGCGTGTCAGCTGCCAGCTCCCCGTCATACTCGATCACCTCATCCTCCTTGAACACGTAGATGCTCTCCTCCTCCGTCAGCCCTGCGGG